TCATGGGTACCAAGAGAAGTTTCTTAAACAATGCTTTCCCTTTATACAAAATGTTATCCCTTAAGATAATAGTGTAAGGTGGCCACTTATTTTCGATTCTTCACAATTTGTCTAAAATATGGCAATATGGATATCCAATGAAAGGTATTGTTGAGAACTTTGATCAGAAAATATTTTCGTTCAAGGTTGCCACGCTTCTATGTAATACAAATTTGTATTTTGTTAATTTCAATCAGAATTTTTTGCAAGTATATACAGTGCATACACGCTCAAGATTTGTACTATTAATTCCAGCGTATTTCGGAATGGAGTTGCCACCTAAACTTTAGAGTAAGAAATTTACTTACTAGATATGGAAATCCATTTTTTTTCAATTTCAAAATATTTTTTAAAGCTATCCAAATCTTGAAAACTTTCAAAAGTATATGCACTCCGAGCAAAGCTCGGTCAACCTGGTACTATTTCTTAAACCCAATTAAATTGGCTACACTGTATTAACTTTGTGGTGTCAAATTGTTGTAGCAACCGGTGCAACAGCATCTGTGATTTATATGCTACTTTGACTAATGGCCATTCAGTCAAATGGTGAGCAATTCAGTTGAGTTTTTCTAAATGTCTTACGGATGCTGCTGCATAAAATTTTCTATATTCTGGTTTCTGTTGAACTTTTACATAAAAAACGATGTACTTAAATGCATGCAAACATGTTCAAACATAAATATGTAAGCACATGTATAAAGTGGTATCTGGCAAAGCTTATTAACACATTTGCCGCTTTTAATTGCAAAAAAAGCGAAGCATTAAAACGAGGGTGCCTGCTGTCCACCAGTGTGCGAATATTTGAAATCGATGACACATTGACCATTAAGTCATCAATTTGGAGAATTCAAGCCCACAAAACGCATGTTGCTCGAATGCAAAAAAAAAAAAAATATGTTTGAATGTAGTAACAAATAGGAAAAAAAAAATAACATCACATATTATGTACTTATACAGCCACATACAATTTCCGATTTATGTACATACATAAAAGCTTAAAAGGTAAGATAATAAATGAACGAATTTCGTGGCGTGGCAGCTCATCAACATTGCCACCGCCAATTAATTGGATGGAGTTAAAAAAGGCGTAAAAGTATTATGCGCCGGTGGGGAAAAAAACACAGAAATTCCAAATTTTTTCATACGCGCAACATGGTGCTTTGAAATATTTTTACAATCGTCATATCCGCTGTGCGATATTTGCATATGAGATGTTCTAAAATACGAACGTGAATTGTGATAACTTTTAGTAAATTTGTTTCGAAATGGCTTAGGCCATTGAACAAGCACGTTCATGTGCTTGTGTATGGGTGGTGGATGTTTATTTGCTTGACAAAGCAAAATTTACAGAAAATTCATTAAAGACATTTTTAAACGGAAATTAGTTACCTTAAAAATGAATGAATTTGCCAAAAATAAAAAAAAAAATGTATATCAGTAGATCGGAATGAATGTATTTTTGGTCTCAGCGGGTTTGGCAGTAACATTTTTCTTGCAAGTGTGTATATGTTTGGCCTTGTGTAGATATGTATGTATGGATGTTGCGCTAATTTACGGTCTATGCTGAAATTGGGTGCCATAAATTAGAAAATATTTTCTGAGGGAATATTTATGGTTTACAGAATTTGAGGTATAAAATGTGTGTTTTGGTGCTGGAATTCAACAGTTTCGACACAGCCTCACTGGAGATCGCATCCTTGGAGTTATAGAGAAAGTGCAAAAAAAACACAGAGAAATGAGCAATTTTGTAAAAGTACTTTGAAATATACTACATACAACAGGGTGATCCTTCAAATATCAACATCGAAATATTGTATGTGTACACTGCGGGAAAAAAGTATTGGCGCAGAAAATGTGTTTTTAAATATATGCAAAACGTTTTATTTTTTTACGCTAATTTTTAATAAAAATGTGAACTATAACAAAAAACATAAAAATATAAGTTGTATACTTTGTGCAAATCTCAGGAAAATTTTAATGGAAATTTTCAGATTTTTAAAAAAAGTTTTTAGAATTTTTCGGAGTATGTATTTTTGCAGCCCAATAAATTTAAAATTTATTGAGTTTTCCCGAGTTTTGCGCAAAGTTTAGATACTTTTACTTTTATGTTTTTTTGGTGTAGAGTGAACCATATTTATATAAAAAATTTGAATAAAAATTGTTGCATATATTATGAAAAACTCTGTGCCAATACCTTTTCCGGCAGTGTATGTTCTACGCACAAAATAAGGACATCTACAAAAATATCAAAATTAAAAAAAAAAGTTTTAGAGGTCGCTATCAGACTTTGAAAAAATTATTATTTTCTCATCGCAAAAATTCTACAAAATTTTGACTTGAAATTTGACAATCTTACATATTATTAAGTCCTATGCACACGCTGGCCAAATACAAAATTTTGTAAAACTTTTAAGATTAAAAAAAGAAGAAATTTTTTTAAACTCTGGTTGCGATCCCTATATTCTTACTTTAAATCTTAAAATTTGCGGGCATGTCTTTATTTTGTACGCAGAATAAAATAAAGAGGCGCCCCATGATTTTGATATTTTAAGAACCTCCCTAATACACATACATATACGTTAGCACTTAGTATATGCATTTGCTAATTTTAAAAAATATTTTCCAATCTCTTTCATAGCTTCACCTGATTTGCCTCATTGCTTTGGTCTGCATCACCTTAGCAACGGCTCAATCGACCACAACAACACCAAGAAATAGCCCACAGCTTTTAGATGCGCGCGGTCGTTACAATCCTTACTACAATGATCCTTATTACCAGAACCGATTTTTTAGAAATCGCGACTATTACAATCGCGAATATTATGATAATTTGTTTAAAAAATATAATCCAGACATAGCCGCTCCGCAGGCGCGAATTATCGCACAAAATGCTGAATTGCAACATGGCGGCACCTATACATACTCATATGAAACTGAAAATGGCATACAAGCTGAAGAGCGTGGCGTACCTGTGAAGGTGGGCACTGAAGAGCAAAAGGAAGTGGTTGAAGGTTCTTACTCCTACGTCTCGCCCGATGGCATGCGTGTGATTGTCAAGTACACAGCCGATGAGAATGGTTATCATCCAACAATTACTTGTAAGTATACTTGGATTTGATTTAAAGTAAATTATATATATACATACATACATATGTACAACTCATCTTTCCAAAAATTTTTATCGAAAATTACATATTACCCTCAGTTTAACCAAGCAAGCAGTATTTACTATTTTTTTTTTCACAAATATCCAATTCTAATTTCATTGATCTCCACAGATGATGGCCTTAATGCAGAACGTTTTGCACACCTCCAACAGCCTGCTGATATTGTCATTACTCGCCAGAATTGAGAGGTAAATCAAGATCGCAGCGCATTCACGAAGACCTAAAAAAAAAATAATAAACAATGACTTGCGAAATTTGGTTAAAACCTGAAATCTAAATAAATGAAATTAGCATTTTAATAAAATCTCAGAAAAGACATGATGTTCAAACTTATTTAAGTTGTCGGAAATTAAACATTTCATATTTAGTAAATCTCATCAGCTTTAGCACTGAAGTAACTGCTCGTACGTAACTACATTAATGCTTTAACTTTTAAGATTAACAACCATACAAAGAATGCGCTAGCCTGGGCAGGTCGATATAAAATAAAAGAGGTTTTTTTTTTGTACAATAGACTGCATCACTCCACATACAAAAAAAAAAATTCGGTACTGTTTTTCCATTGGAATTTTAAAATATATTATATTTTAAGATGTTCACCAAAATATTTCGGAAAAATATTAAGATTTTTCAAAAAACATCTTTAAGAAACTATTTTTATTCATAAAAAACTCCTTAATATATAATAAATTATGTAATTCCGGCGGAAAAACCGCAACTTCTTTTTGGTGATGCAGTCTAATGTACATATGTAGGTATCTTACAAAAAACTTTACAGCGTGTTTACTAAAT